GATGCTGCTGCATCAGCTGGTGCGCCGATGCGGGCACATTCTGGACAAAGTTGTCCGCCGCCGCCGTACTGGAGGCGGGTGAATGCCAATCGCCGGCACTGGCCGCCGCCGCCGAGTGGAACATGTGATGGGAATTGTAGTACATCTGATGGGCAGCGGCCGCATGGTGGGCGGCATGCGACGAGTCCACATCGCCGAGGAACTGATGATTTGGCGGCGTGTGGTGATAGTTGGACGTCCAGTTCCACGGTTGACCCGCCGCCGAGGCATAGGCCAGATTGGCAGCCGTATGCTTTTGCGTGTAGGGCAGTGTATTGTAATAGTGCGAAACCATATTTGAGGTTATACTAGCTGAAGGTCCGCCGCTTATTGAAGATAATCCTTCGTTCCAACTTATGCAGATAATCCCTTACTCAAGCTCTTTGTCTCTCCACTTGCAAGCCAAATATTTTAATTGCACATTTTCTAGAGTTTTGGTTGCGTTATATATGTATGTATATGTATATTTTGCTTTGTCAATTTTTACAGCTATCACTTGGCTGGTGATGCGCTTTTTTTTTTTTTTTTTTTGAAGCCACACAATCACACACGATATCGATACTTTTTCGATGCACTATGATTTGTAGTAGTACCCACTCACGCGATGCAAACTTGTAATCGGATACTAACTGTTTTTTTTTATTTTTCCTTTTGGATATTATTCCGTTGGTATTCCGTTGCGACGTCAAGTCTGTACGCAAGTCGAAAACGTACTGAAAAGGTAAAGCAAACTCAACTGATAAAAAACCCAAAGCAACGGAATCAGATAAACAGGCAGAGAGGCTCAAACAAAAACAACCACCGCCGAGCAGCACACAATGGTTATCTCTTTCTCGCCCATGGAAACTGCCATTAGGGGGCATTTTTTAACCCTCATTTCCGTTGCACATTCAAAATTCAAGATGGCTTGTGTATGACCAACCGTCTCTTTCTTGATAGTACTCTGTCTCTTTCTTACCGCTTTGCGATGGCTGGCAGGCAGGTAGGCCACGCCCCTTTGAGCCAGGTAGGCAATTTGTCGTAATTTCTTGGCCAAGAAAAACCCCTTTTCCTTTATGGCCCGCTTTCGATTTGTACGTACTTTAATTGCAATTGCCGTTGGCTAATTAAGTAATTGCGTGGATATAGGTGCGTGTATTATGCAATTAGTGGCTGTAAAATGATGTTTCCACGGTTGTAACATGGGATACAGCTCCATCTGGAGAACAATCATTGTTTTACCATCCAGATTTTATTCTCCATACATTCGTTAGCCATATAGTTAGAACACATTTCATGTGGTTAGAGCTCCATTGTCCAGATACTTGTTGTTTGCAAAGCAATTGTCGTTTATATGGGCGCCCCGATATATACATAGTTATAGCACCATCGATACAGTTGTAAAGGTATAGTCATAATTGCCAATGCAAGCAATGATATTAAATTGGCGCGAATACAAGGAAAGAAAGGGCATATTATAGCTTGGAAACAACGACAACAATTTGAACAATGTAAAATCCAATATTAAAACCATTGAAAGACTTTGATTTTGATTTTATATAATTTTTGGAAAAATCTTGTTATATATACATTTTGACAGATTTTAACACATTAGATGCACATAAATTCCACCTTTCAAGTCTTTTGTAACTCTTCATTTGAGTTCAAACTATTCCTTGAAAAAAAAAGAAAAATATTTCAAGAAAAACAATGCACATAATTTGTGAAACAATTTACCATACTTACTATAAATCTAGTATTAAAGAATAAAATGAATTCAAAAAGTTTATAAAGTAATATAATTTTTATAAACATGTTTATTTATTAAATGGCTAATAATGTATAAAGGCAATAGCTCTAGTTATAATAATTATAAAATGATATACGTAATAAATTAATTAATTTAAATGAGGGCTGACACACATATATTGCTATCTTTGGAATATTACATTTATTTCAAATAATTAAACCATTATTTTATGGGTATACTTATTGTTCCCAGCCATTAAAAAATTATGAATATGAAAAGTTGACTTTTATAAATTGCAGTTATCACATCAGGTTGTGAAAAATATTTTAAATTAAATTTAAATGGGTACTATTATTTCTATTTAAATATTATTACTAAAACGCATGAAACACATATTTTTAAATTTATAAATCTCAATAAAACCTTTTCGCTGTCATTCTTATTAAATTCTCTCCAGAAAACTCAACTCTCGCGCTAATCCCAATTGTAATTCCCGAAAAGAGGCCAAGCTCACGCCGATTGAGTAATACCAGAGAGTTCCAGTAATTCTTAGCCTACATAGATCTATAAAAAATACATTCATTGATTTCCGAGATGGTTGTCGTCAAATAATTAGAAATGAATGCAGCTGACATAATGGATGGGAAACAAAGACGAGATCCCTGAAAAGGACACGGAACAGAACAGAACAGAAGCAATCGAGGCAGTTGGCCTCGCGCTGGAGGTACTTAAAACTCACTTATTAACGCTGAACTACCAGAAACTGGTTCGGGATCGTGTCCAAACAAAAAACCCCTTAATGTCCGTAAGACAAAACATATTGTAAAACAATCGAAAGGGCCCGAGCGTACAAAAGACTACAAAGATTTTATGATTACGCGAATACGACCCAAAAGACCAAAAATTCAGGATGCGACACCAAACAAGGCTTATAAGGGGTGGTGCTGGTGGGATGACCTGCCCATCGATCGGGCCCATAAAGTTCACACAACAATTAGGCAGCCACAGCCCAGATTTTGTTTATTTTTTTTTTTTTCGCAAACCGTCAACAATTCGGCGGAATTTACTGCGTGGGCTGGGCCTTGGGGAAGGGTAGGTCCTATGAGCTCTATAAGGTTGGGCTCGAGTTTTATCCCAGGCACGGGCAAGTCATGTAACAGTCTACGATGTTACCTGGAAGTCATTAGGGGCACACAAAAAGGCTAATCCTTAAGTGATCTATGTAAACATATGGTAATTTCATTCTAGACGAATCCCGGTTCTTATATTATATTTAGATGCTAGCTTGATTGGACAATTTGTAAATAAATTAAGCAACCAAATTAGCAAATTATCGCAATAATTATACTTTCTTTTTTCAATCTGTATATTTTTTTATTGAGATAAAAAAAAACATTTTTTTAAGTCCTCTATTTTCTTACTTGCTTAATTTTAACAACATTTCATTAAACTCTTTTACACATTTTAATACCCTTGCTGAGGGTTGGTCAGAAGCTTATATGTTTCTATACCGTGAACGAGCTCAGTTTAAAAGCTAGAGACTAGAATCTTTTGAAATTTTTTTTTTTATGTGTACGCAGATCAAGATAATGGACGTATATATCCTACAGCTGCCATAGAAACAAACAGGCAAAATTAAAGTAAATAAAGTTACATTTCGTCTTTTAATTTGAGTTTTTTAAGTGCTTAGAACTTATAAATCTATCTTTGATTAAAATCGGTAAACTACATAATATATATAGCTGCCATGCTTACCATACGGTTCAAAGCCAATATTTCGAGCAGTGTCAAATATATGTTCTTGAATCTTTTTAGATCGTATTATTGCAAATGTACACTGATACATAGACGATCGGACGACTATATTCTATATCTGCCAAAGAAACGATCATGTAAAGTACAATAATTTTGTTTTTTTTTCGAATAAATATCGTTTTTTAAAACATTGGTTTTGCCGAAGTCAGTTTCCGTTCTCGTTTTAATTTTATTTAAAAATTTTTGTGTTTCAGACTAAAGAAATTATGTATAAATTGTAATCAATCTATGCAGGCCTGTCAACCGATTCTGAATGCAATTAAACCTTTTATCAATGAACGATTTCAATCCAATCTCTAAAACACTCTAATGCATCTCTATCTGGCCATCGTAAATTAGAATCTGTCCCGCTGTTGACATTAACAACCTGCCAAGAACTCGATGGTATTTATATATTTTCCTTCAATTATGTTAATAAATCCATAAAGAAAGCAAAGCAAGCGCCATGGCCCATAAAGCAGACTCCAAAATAAAACTCAAGGGGCAACGGCAATCAGACCATTTAGAGATATATCCCAGTGCCAGACCTAAACCGATATAATAACTTATATCTGTAGGTTTCTGTAGGTGGGTATACGAGTATACATATGTAGAATGAGTTCGTCGTCGCCAGACGGATGTGAATATGGATGTGGATGTGTCTTTGTCGTGCGGCATTTGCTGTTTGTCGGTTCGTTTAACGTTTTGGAGAGTTTTATGGCCAACGGCCCCGGCCAAACCCCTCCGAAAAAAAAAACCCCTTCGTTCCACCCACTTCCCCAGCCGATCCCACAGCAAGTGCATTTTGCGTTGTATCAACCAGCGCAATCAAACACTTTTATGGGTGCCGCGACATTAGCGATAAAATATCTTTGTTAATAAAACAAATTAATATGGAGAGGGACAACGAAAAGCGACTAGTCACATTTGGGTGGAAAGCCCAAAGTTATTTTTGGATTCGCTGGCAAACCTTTTTGTGGAATTTCCCTAGATTATTGCAAATGTACCCCTAGCAATTGTTGTTAACCTTCTTTGTTAACGGTAAGACAGTTGTCCTAAAACTTCAAAAGCTTCGGTGTTGAAAATTAAAATAATCAAATTAAAGAATTTTAAGAACCACTAAAAAAGCTATAGTTTTAAGTTATAAAAACTATAACCTTTTCTCTTATTTTACTTATTTGTAAAATACATTACATTATTTTTGAATTCGCAGCCGAATTTCACAAGATTTTAGCAAAGTTACCCCTAGCAATTGTTGTTAACTTTCTTGGTTTTAAGGTCTTTTTGACAAGATCTTTGTGTTGAAAATGTTAATAATCAAATTGAAGAATTTTAATTGCCTTTACAAAACACATAGTTTTAAATTATTAAAAATATAACCTCCTCTTTCATTTTATTTATAAATTCTCAAACAAAAAGATTCAAACAAATAAGCTAATTATAGTTTTGGTAAAAGTTTATTTTCAATATACGATCATTGTCCAAAAATATAGGCATTAATTAACAATGTTATGTATAGCGTGGATTAAGGGAATTAAAATAAACAATTTAAAAGAGTTTCGCTTAAAAACAAATTAAATACAAAAGGAATTTCATTTTGATATATATCTCGCCCTATTGAGTGCCTCGAAAACGATGTGCACAACAAAATGATCGGAACATGCCACAGTAGAATAGGAATAGAGTGTGTATAAAACCACAAGACACAGATCAGTCGATAATTAATTGTCTGAATTGGTTTCTCATTTCATTTTACAAGTATTTAGAATAAGAATAGGCATCAGTTACCGGGTTTTCAGTTTCTGTAATAAAAGCGTATAAAAAATATATGTTTTTTTTCATATGGGGTAGCATATTTAGGATTTTACGGTTTTTTTTTTAACATTGCTGATTGCAGGACTCGTGGAAAATGCTACACAATACTCTTAAACATTTTATAAACAAAATATAATATAATCTTTCTATGCTTTCTGGTTGGCATTTAAATGTAAAGCCAGTTCCTAAATTGAATCACATCTCACCTTCTTTATTTTTAGAATAAATGGATGATTTACTTAGATTAAGTTGGAAACTTAAATCGGCCTGCCAATCTGTGTATTTAAATATATCTAAATGATTTTTTATTTAGTTGCTCATTGTGCTCACGAATTTCAAATTTAAGAATTTATGTTTATACAAACTGCTAAAAAGTAAACAAATCTTTTACAAAAATGTTAAAATATAAATCAAAACATCTAAGCAATTAACCAATTGTTTATACAAACTGCTAAAAAGTAAACAAATCTTTTACAAAAATGTTAAAATATAAATCAAAACATCTAAGCAATTAACCAATTGTTTGTCTCATTTAAACCACGAGTTCCATTCATCAGCAATATATTGTTCCCAAAAATCGATCTATGACTAGCCCATTGATTTAGTACTTTGTGGCTGTCGAAATAGTTCTAAGTGCTGGCTATCCATACTTTCTTTAAACCCAACGGACACGCCAATCGAGTTGATATGTAAGCAAAGCTACACACACACACACGGATTCACAGATGTACACAGCTAATGATCCTAGGCCCTTAGATCTCTACAGATGTCTATTTATATATATGTACAGAGGGGGAATTGCTTGATTCATCATTTCTACGCAGAGCCTAGAACCTCATTGAGGATCATCTCGCGGGTCATCAGCTGTCCGTTGGTGACACGCGTCCGTGAACGACTCCGACTGAGTTGGGCCCTCCGTTCCGCTCCCGCTGGACGCTGACGGCGGGCCTGTCGGTTTCGCTGCCCAAAGGCAGAGCCCGTTTGCAGGGCCTCCAAGAGACTATCCATTACGCCCTCCTGCGTCTGTGCGGCATCCATGTCAACCACTGCCTTCTTACGCTGCTGTCGCTCCTGTTGCTCCCGTGCCGACTGTTCGCGTGCCTCCTGCAGACGACGCTTCTTTTCCAGCTCCTCGCGCACCCGCACATTGTCGTTGTGCGCCGATTGGAAGGCATCCTTGAAGGTCTTGATGTCCGCAAAGAACTCCTCCATGGTGTATTTGGTGGGATCGAAGGCATAGTACTCGCTGAGATCCTTGTACAGCTTCTCCATTTGCAGCTGCATTTTGCCTGTAATAACAAAGGGGTTGTTAGATAATTTGGTAAATCTCTCCATGGGAATCAATTTTACCCAACACATCCACTTGCTGTCTGCATTCCTCGGCAAACTTGCCCATCACCTCGCTAAACTTGTCATCATCACACTGCGGGATCTTGTTGTTCTGCAGATCTGTTTCCAGATTCTTTACCGCCGAATTCATCTGTCTCATCGCCTTTTGGATGGCATCCATGTTAACTCGCGACGCCTTATTCACATGCGATAGATCATCGTAGAAGTTGAGGGCATCTGGGAATTTCTTTTCCACAAGATCGGCCAGATAGTGCAGCAATGTCTGCTTATTGTCCGCATCTTTTGTGTTGGACAGCTTGGTGAGATAGCTGATCTCAAAGCCAAAGGCGGCCTCGTTTTTGGAGCCCGAGTTCATATAGTTGCCGAGCAGGAGTATGAGTTCCAGGATCTTGGAGAACTTCTTGCTATTCCGCACCTCTTCGCAAGCTGCCGTTCCTGCCACAATATCGGGTTTAATATCCTGCACCATATCCGCATACGTAAGCTTAAAGTTAAGGTTGTGAAGACGCGGCGACAGACGTTTGATTTCCCCTGAAATAAAGTGAGATTATTACTTTTTGGAACCATAAATGTATATTTATCTTTATCTTACCTATCGTGGCTGCAAATTGCTCAATGGGTGGAAGTGGTTCTCCCTTGGCCTTGATCTCCTGCAGACGCTTAAGTTGCTCTGGCGGCGGCAAGTATTGAATAAGTTGCTGCAGAATATTGGAGGACAGAATGGCGGTGTCGCAGCGCAGCAGGCAAATCTTGATCTGTTCATACGATAGGTGCTTCAGCGATCCACCCAACATGATGGCCAAATTCTGGGCAGTCTTTGAGTCCAGCACACGCAGATCGACATTTTTCTTGGTCAGCGTCGTCGGCTTGTCCACCGCATCCTTTTGCTCTTTCTTCACGGGCTTGGAGGAGAATTTAACGGCCAGTTCGGCAAGGAAATCATCCTGGGCCAACTTATCCTCCTGGCACTTAACCCAGAACGCCTTATCGGACATTTTGGCAGGAACAATAGCCTTCCAGTTGGCCCGCTTCATGGGATTCTTGACCTCCCACTTCTTCTTCGGTTTGAGGCCATGAGGCAACACCGGCACCATGGGGCCCATCATCATGGGCGGCGGTGGAGGGCCGCCCGGGCGCATCATGCCAGGCATGGGCGGAGGCGGTGGACCTCCCATTCCGGGCATGGGAGGTGGTGGCGGCGGTCCACCAGCCATTCCCGGCATGGGAGGTGGCGGAGGAGGCGGTGGTCCACCACCAGCTCTGCCCGGCATGGGAGGCGGTGGTGGAGGAGGTGGACCACTACCACCTCCTCCTCCTCCTGGCGGTGGCGGCGGCATGGGTATATTCACTTTGGGCAACTTATTGGGCGAAGGAGCCGCCACACCGTTAGCCTCCATCAGCTTGACCTTCTCCTCGAGATGAGCTGCCTTCGCCTCGGCCTCCTGCTTGGCGCTCTCGAGCTGTTCGATCTTCTTCTCGTACTCCTCCGATCGCTTGGACTCCTTGGCCTTGGCCTTCTCCACAATATCGTCGAGCAGCAGTGAGGTGTCAATGTTAAAGTTCCGGTTCTCAAAGTTCGGATCACAGTAGCCCTTGTGGAAGACAATCTGCGAGATGCACTCCTCAATCAGTTGATAGTACGCAGGCCGGAAGTAGAAATCATCCCTGATATAGAGCAAGTGCTGCAAGATGGACAGGAAGTAGGGTTCAGAAGTGGTGTCCGTCACCAGGTTCTTCAGCACATCAAAGCAATCCGTGGCATCGTCCATGTTGAAGGTGACGTTATCGAAGCGCTGCACAAATTCCTCGAAATCATCCTCCCGAATCTCGTTGAAGATCTTGAAGTGCTGCTGCAATGCCTCATTATTGCTGGTCTCCACGATTTTGGTAAACTCCTCCAGGCGATCGTACAGACCCATCCGCATTATCTCACATCGCAGATGCAGTCGGAAATTCAAGTCCGTGGGTGTGTTTGTGAGAGTATTGATGAATATCAAACTGTGACAGGCCAACTCCCGCTTGGGATCCTGTTGATCCTGAAACAGAGCATCCACTATGGGTCGAAATCGTTCGCTAGCCTTGAAGGATGTGGCTGCTATTGTGGTAATAGCTCGCAGCACCTTCTCGTAGCCATTACGCTCGTAGACAATGCAGAAAGAGGCCAGCAGTTTGAGGGCTTCGCACATGGTCTGTGGCTTGCGGGGATCGAGGGATTGCGCCAGCAGCAGCACCACACTATGCTGATCCGGATTGAGAACCACATTCAGGCCCCACGTATTATTCATGATGGCCTTCAGGCAGCGAATCGCCTCGAACTCAATCTTCTCATAGCTGGAATCCTTCTTCGACTTGGCCAACAGTTTTTCAATTGTCCCAATGCCCGCCACCCCGAATTCCTTGATCCACGAGATCGGATTGCTGGTGAGCGCCACGCGCAGAGATTCCACGCACTGGTACACTTTGTGCGTGCTGTGCTCTCCATTCTGCAGATATTCCACGTAGTCAATGGGCTTCTCGAACCGCGAATTGGCGCTACGCTCCAGTGAGTTTTTACCTGGAATACGAGATTGGAATGGCAGTCCGATCAGTAAATGTAATGGATATCAGTGAGGAAATTAATTGGATAAGAATCAAGCTAATCCACAGCGCAATTACACATATCATTTTTTAAGAGCAAGGGTAGAGCTTACTTAATTTAATTAAAAGTTTCTGGTTTTCATGGTAGGCTAGATGAGGATTTGATTTACAATTTTCTTTAAGTTTTTCTCAATTTGCATACAAGTAATTAAAAAAGTTTTACAGCTTATTTATTATTCAGCTCACACATGTGTTAATTTATTGATAAAAACAATAGAGGCGTATTCCACAGTACCTCAAGGTTTTTTTGTTTAAGAGAAAGAGGTCGTTCGCCGCTAACAACACCCATGGTTTTTTAGTCATTTCAACGCTGATTCATTCGACCCTATCTTTAGTCTATATAAACGACATACATTCATATAGAGCTGTATTGGCAGGCTGATAAGAAAAACATTTAATTAATTAGAATACCACTTAAGAATGTCAACTAACCTGACATTTAATCTTTAATTATAATTGAGCAAACATAATGATTGAAATTATAGAGTAATCAATCTTTTTTTTTGTATACTTGTACTTTATAGTTGTGTTTTTAATGTTATTTGGGTGATTCATTATTATTTTTTTTATTTTATTATTGAATATTTTATCTAAAAGAATGCCAGATAAGGGTAGTTAAAAGGCAATTAATAAGAATAAGAACCTTCGGAGAGACCTTCTGTGAAACTACACACCCCTTTTTTGATTACCTGCACCACTGACATCATTCAAATTGGCCAAAACCCGCCCACATATAATACGCTTATCCGTCAAAACCCAACTACGCTAACTGTTTTATTAATTAACTCAAAACGCCAAGCGAAGCGTGTTAATGAACAGCTTTGTGTACGAGTATTTTTTTTTTGTTGTTGGCCAGTCCATTGTTTGTGTTTTAAATTTAATTTCGCAACAAGTGGTTGCGGGAGGGTTCTGCCACAATAAGCACGACCCACAATGAAATATTTACTTCAGTTTCTCTTGTTTTGTACACCAAGTTATTTGCAACCTATAAGATACGTTTCTTGCCGCAGCTCAAGTTTATTGACAAGCATCAGAATTTATTTTCAGCTTGATTTTGTCATAATGTGTTTAACGTTTTCGCATATTTGCATTTTATGGCCGTTCCAAAGTGTAAGGAAAATCACACATTGACGTTGAGAGAGCAACAACCAAAACTCTCTTTTCTACTACACTTAAACTAAATAATCAATTAGCATTACATTTTTGAACTATGAACATTTTGATAAGACTAATTTTATAATTAAAAAAAAGAGCTTTATTAAATGGATAAATGTTTAAACATTTTTATAGCTAATATTTTAGTTAGACTTCGTCAGTAATTAGAATTTTAATAGGCTTTTCTAAATATGTAAAATATACTGCTATAAATGGTATAGGGTACAAAATAAGAAATCTATTTTTATTTAAATTATTTTCCGTGCACATTTGCCTTCAGCTAGTCTATCTCTCTCCCGCATTCGCATTGCACTTGCTTATACAACAAAAAGAACGAAGTGCTAAATAAAAAAATCATTTTCTCACTGCCACTTGACGTAATTTAAATTGTATAATATGCATGGTAAAGAAAATTTCAATGTCTTTGCATTCTCATTTTTTGCCGCTTGACTTTTGTCACGCATTTGTCGTATACTTTGGTACTTATTATACATACATATATACTTGATAAAATGGGGAGAAGATAGTCTGAGGTTGTGGTGGCGCAATTAACCGTTACAAACGATAAGAGAAACTTTAAATCTACGCTTTTCAAGACTGATAATGGACCATGAGGCCGATGGGCTGATGTGGATTTAACTGGAGCGGAACGCCAAGAATGAAGCTGAAGGCTAAGTTAGCATTGAATTATGCTCGAGATATAGCTGGCGATGTGGTACAGTGATAATTACATAGGCCGGTACAGTAGATAACCCCATTTCTACTAATTTTGTTTATTTTGGGAAATACATTAGTTTGTAGGGTTGGAAGTCTTGTGGGCTACGAATATACTTTATAAAAAAACAACTGGCTTTATCAACTACAAGTTTTAAATCGTTAAAAGGAAATACATATATGTATGTACATATGTATGCATACAATGTAAATTTTGTAGTTGAATCAGAAAAATTCTTGAGTCAGCTTAGAAATAATTTTGAGTGCAAATTATCGTAATGTTACATTATATTAATATAGTTACAAACATTACTTCGTACAAATTTAAAAAAAGCATTAATCAAAATAGATGTTTATAAACCGTTGACAGTATTTTTTGATTGACTTCAGGTTAATTAAATTTAACTTTAAGCACTATAATTTGTAATTACTTATAGATAGCTTGCTTTGTCAGCAGAAATACACTGACAAAAGCTAACTTACTTCTTCTTGAAACATTTAAGTTTATACCACTAAAGAACGTATTTGTACATCTATGTATTTAAGAGATCGTTGACATCACAGCTATCAATACGAATAATTGCTAACAAATTAAAAAAAAAAACGACAATCCTTGGAATAGCGGTATATGATAAGAAAACAAATAATGCCGAACATGGGCGCAAAGCAAATTGGCAACTAAATAAAACGGTAAGCAAACAGAAAGCGAAAATTCGCAGACACACGCAGACATTTCGTAAAAAGCAAAGCACACAGATACACGTACCGTTACCTGCTAATCTTATCAGAAATGGAATGCAATTTACCCCGGGAATACGGCAAAAACAAAGAAGGGTAAATAGTCATCCAACTTGGCCGCACGAAAATCGATTGTCTGATGTTTTTATACCCTTGCTGAGAGTAAACCGTTTAGTTACGTAGAATTAATACATTATTTCATAGCTGTCATTTGTCATTTATTACAATACTAAAGCGACTTGTCGGGATTAAATTTAAATGCTGTTTTTAGAAGCTCGAAAGTTTTTGTCTATTTTTAAATGATTTTTTTTCATATTTGAATTAGAACTGTTAAGCTTGGTTTGTTGGGTAAAAAATTTTCGCACTGCTATAAGGGTATAAAAACAATGACTTGCTTTCCATATTTTAAATATGTACATACATATGTACTTTTTACCTTTTAAGTGCCACATAATCATCTTTTGGCGCTCCTCCTTGGATTTAGCCAACAGGGGCTCCCTCTTATCCTTGGGTATGTTCATATCCTCTATGATCTCCAGGAATTTGGCATCCAGCTCCGCAACGGAAAGCTGTTGGATATACTGCTCGAAATCCTCCACGCCCGGCACCACATAATTATCCGTTGATACGGGTCGCCCGCCATGGGTTAAAGTTCCACTGCTGATTGTTCCACCTTTGGATTTTGAGGGTCTTCCGAAGAGACTATCCAAGAGCCCGCCACCCGTAGATTTGCCTTTCTCGTGACGAGACATTCTGCAAAGATAACAAATAAATTAAGTTTATTCATATATACGTATTTTTTTTTAAGGATAAAAACCTAACCCCAGCTTTTTGAGACGCATTTCGGTGAGCAACTAAACGAAAACTAAACAAAGACCACTATGGATTTTTGGGACATGCGCAGTTTTTAATATTTTTTTTTGGGAAGACAACCTGCACAGCTGTTTTTTTGTTTACAGTTGAAACGAACCGCGATTTCTGGTGGTGTTTCCAACGAATGCATTCAATCGATGGATGGGAGGTGGTCGATCATTATCAGCTATAGTTTATTTACAATTATCTTGGGTGCCCATAATGCTGATTCAGCCTCAACTGACTGTGGAATTTTCAATTAACACGTACAGTGGGCAAAATATGTTTAAGTACACTTGAAATTTCATACAATTTTGTTCCCTCTGTACATAATCTGAAAATTTGTTTTTAAGAATAAATAAACAATAAATAGTTTTTAAAATGTCTACTCAGCTTTGTAATTAAAGACAATTTAAAAAAATTAGCTCAAAACTTTGTTAACTTAACTTTTAACTTTAACTTTTTTAAATATATGTTGAAGTCTATTTAAGGCTTATAAAACGGGGGAGTATTTTTTGTACGGTTTGTAATCGCAATATCTCTACTAGCCTCTAAAAAATACAGTTTTCTAATTTAATTACGTGCTAACCACTGTGCTATTCACAACATTTGAAGCGTGAAAACGACTGATTAAAATCATAAACAAAAAACTCAAAAATAAACCAAGCAAGTTGGACAAAATCATTATTAATGCGCGCTAAATTTACAAAATGATGCGATAATTGCGCCATTCCATAATAGGAAATGGCACGAAATTTGGTGAGCTAAATAGAAAACTAAGTAAAAAGAGAGAACGGTTAAAATACATGCTTATTGAGTGATTCATTTGGCCAAGCTGAAATGCAGGCCGTTAGCATTTGAATTGGCTTCTATTGAAGGATGCGGTGGGAACACACTTTAGCTTTTGCGTTAGCTTTGGCCAACGCATCTAATGAATCACTAATGGAATCACAGTGGCCAAAAGCAGCTGGAGAGGCAAAAAACAGCAAAATAAAAAAGGCAAACGAGCAACAGGTTTTGCTGATGGTTCTTGCCTGCTGCACAGAAAACAATCACAGTGACTTTAACATAGCTTTTTCCCACTAAAAGCGTTTTTGACGCTCGAATAACATTTGTAAGTCTAAGTCTAACATAGAAATATTATAATTTTATAAATACAAACCACTAAAAATCAAGCTTTTTTAAGAGCTATCCATTTTAATAATAGATGTTATTTAAGAAAACAAATGATTCAATTTCAACATTTTTTTATTAGAAAATATCCAGTTGGAAGATGTCTCCGATTCGGAGATTTAAAAAAAAAATATTGCATCCTATGTAATGTATTAGTAATATTAACATAATTGAATTTGAAATCAATATTTACTGAAAATGTTGTGAAATAATAATAATGAGATATTCAGATTATAAAATGCTATCTTAAAATAAATTCCTAAAAACATTATTTAATATCCTTTTCAAATCTAAATTTAGTTAAGCTTTACGATTTTCCCTAAATTGTATGTTTTCTAAGAGGATATTTTTTTTAAGTGTGGCGAACGGGCGTGCCAACTTTCGGCAAATCATTCACAATGGTCGGCTAGAGAAATCAAATTTAATATTTATTGTGACTCCGCAAAAGGCAATTGTGAATGGAGTGGTATGTGTGTGGGCAGAGGAGAAGGAGTATAAAGAGGGGAACGAGTGGAGCGACAAGTTCAAGCAGGGCAACAATTTCTTTTCAGGTCGCTAATACACATAAGCATGTGCGGAGGAAATGCTTTCAACAAGATTTCTTTGGCCAAAGAATTTACAGCAATTGCCTCTTTCTCTATTTTGTTTACATGCACTGCATCTCTTTCTCTCTTCTCTCCCCCCTCAACCACTCTTATATGTGTGCGTGTGCGCTGCAACTGCGAAAATGTAAACAAGTATAAAAACTTCTAATAACCGCTTGGAATTCCACGAAATGAAGCGAGAATTGGTAAAAATGCGCTCACCTTCGTTTTGATATCTGTGTCGCCTGCTCACTTTTGATTTTTTTTCGGTGGTTTACGTCATAAGACCAGAAAAATAATGGCTTGCCACTCTCACACAGGCACACACAAACACACTCGCGATCAAACGGCTTTTGTTGTGGTTGTTGTTTTTGGTCTCTGGCTTTTTGTTTGTTTTATTGCGCGACGATGGCACAAAAAAAAACAAGCTGCTTCAAAACACTTTTCTACTTTTTGGTTTAAGTTTTTCTTTCAGTGTTTTAAATCTTACTTATTTAGTTGTTGCTTTTGGTTTTGCCTTTGCTTTTTGCCACTTGTTGCTGTGCTGCCACGGATTAAACATTAAATAAAATCGGATATCCGGCTTTTTTGCTACGCAAACACTTGGCTAGTTCTTTAATAACCACTTGGCATGTAGATCGCTGGCTTTTCGCGGCCTTAAATCGCAAAAAATTATAACTTTTAACACAAGCGTTTCGCTCAGCGCGTTGATCGGAATAAGTGTGACCGTTGTTGGATCGTTCAAGTATACCACAGGGGTTAAGACGAAATGTACTAAAAGAAACCTCACAGCAGCCGTTAAGTGATTTTAGCACGGACTCGACCCAGCCCTTAAATTTTGGTTCTAATAACTGAAAAATCTTTTTGAGCTACGAGAAAATTGTTGAACTTTTTCATAAGTTTATTTTATTTATATTGATTTTTAGGGTTTTATTATTTTCACACAGGCCATCATATTTAATCAAAGGGAACTTAACAAGAAATACATTATACAAAACACTTTTGAGTGAGTTGGCACCCCTTTATCATCCATCAGCTGATACTGGTGGGCACGTTGAGACAGGACGACAACCCTGTCATCTGCCTTTTGTGAGTTTTGTTGATTTCCGTCCAGATTCGTTTTTTATCCCGGTTATGCCATTAAATTGAGTGGAATGCAGCGTGACAGGGACTCCTCCGGCTCTTATGCCCGCAAGGGAAACCGCCCACCAGGACTCAGGGGCAAAAACATAGGACTTTACTATCGCGATCTAGCTCGTCAGCGAAAAAAGGAACGCGGCGAGAATGAGGAACCAAAAGAGCCACAAATCCGGCTGGGCTGCAATGTCAGTGTGCCGGGTGGTGTCCTCTCGCGCGTCAAGGAGTTCATGGTGGACTACAATCGAGAACCGGCAAGGAAAAACTCCGACATGGATGCCCAGTTTCAGCGGCAGTTTCGACATCTTTTGAGTGTAAATTTCGAAGAATTCGTGGCGGAAACGAAGGAGAAAAACGAGGGAGTGGATTACGCAAATCCAAAGCTGGACGAAAAGCTTCGGCAGGAGCTGGAGAACCGTCAGCAGGAGGAGAATGCCAGGAAACGTCTGGCGGCACGCCAAAAGTTGCCCACCATGAAATACGCCGACGAGATTGTCCAGGCGGTGCGGAAAAACCAAGTTATCCTAATTGTGGGCAGCACCGGTTGTGGCAAGACCACGCAGGTGCCTCAAATCCTCCTCGATGATGCCATCGCCCGGGGCTGCGCCTCGTCGTGCCGCATTATTTGCACACAGCCGCGAAGGATTTCGGCCATAACCATTGCCGAATGGGTTAGCTACGAACGCTGCGAGAGTCTGGGCAACTCGGTGGGCTATCAGATTCGTTTGGAGAGCCGAAAGCCACGCGAACGAGCTTCCATCACCTACTGCACCACGGGAGTGCTGCTGCAACAGCTGCAATCCGATCCACTGATGCACAATCTGAGTGTGTTGATTCTGGATGAAATACACGAACGCAGCGTGGAAACCGATCTTTTGATGGGTCTTCTAAAGGTTATCCTGCCACACAGGCCACAACTGAAGGTGATCCTGATGAGCGCCACTGTGCGGGAGCAGGATTTCTGCGATTACTTCGACAACTGTCCCATGTTCCGCATCGAAGGCGTTATGTTTCCCGTCCAGATGCTTTACTTAGAGGATGTCCTGGCCAAAACGAACTACCAGTTTCAGCAGTCTCGCGATCGTCGGCCCAAACGGGATCGACCCGAGCGTCGTATGCAGCACGAGGCGATGATAGAACCATATTTGCGGCGCATCAGGAACTCATACGATAGCCATGTGCTGGAGAAACTGCGTCTGCCGGAGTCAGAGGGCTGCGAGGACATTGATTTCATAGCCGATCTGGTTTACTACATATGTGAAAATGAACCTGAGGGTGCCATTTTGGTATTTCTGCCGGGCTATGACAAAATTTCGCAACTATATAATCTGCTCGACAAACCAAAATCGCTCAAGGGCCAAAGATGGCGGGATCAAATGGCTGTCTTTCCACTACATTCCCTAATGCAATCGGCGGAACAGCAGGCTGTGTTTCGGCGTCCGCCGGCGGGCAAGCGGAAGGTCATCATCTCGACAATCATCGCCGAGACTTCGGTGACCATTGACGATGTGGTCTATGTGATTAACTCTGGCCGAACGAAGGCCACCAACTATGACATCGAGACGAATATACAAACACTGGAAGAGGTCTGGGTTACGAAGGCGAACACGCAGCAACGAAAAGGCCGAGCAGGTCGTGTCCGGCCAGGAATATGCTATAATCTGTTCAGCCGCGCTAGGGAGGATCGAATGGCTGATATTCCAACGCCGGAGATACTGCGCTCCAAGCTGGAATCCATCATATTGAGCCTCAAGCTGCTGCACATCGATGATCCGTATCGGTTCTTGCAGACCCTAATTAATGCCCCCAATCCCGAGGCCATTAGGATTGGAGTGGAACTGCTGAAGCGGTGAGTTTAATGCAATACTCCTTGGTAAACCGTGCGCTAATCTACTTTTTCTTTTTCGTTAAATCAGCATTGAGGCTCTGGACACGTGCGGCACTCTTACTCCGCTCGGCATGCATCTGGCCAAGCTGCCCATCGATCCCCAGATGGGCAAAATGATACTAATGTCAGCGCTCTTCTGTTGCCTGGATCCCATCACTTCGGCGGCGGCTGCGTTGTCATTCAAGTCGCCTTTTTACTCACCTTTGGGTCAAGAGAGTAGAGTGGACGAGATCAAGCGGAAGATGGTCCGCAATATGCGTAGTGATCACCTTTTGGTGCACAACACCATTGATGCCTACCGGGAAAGTCGCTTTGCGCATGCGGAACGTGACTTTTGCTATAAGAATTTCCTCAGCTCCATGACTCTGCAGCAGCTGGAGAGGATGAAGAATCAGTTCAGTGAACTGCTCTACAACTACAAGTGAGATTGTCAAAGGACTTAATTAATAAGTTACCTTATTTCTTTACTATATTCTTTCCTCGCAGGTTTTTAACATCGTCCAACTGCAAGGATACTACGTCCAACATGAATTCCGGAAAGATTCCCTTGTTGAGGGCCATTATTGGAGCGGGTCTATATCCCAACATGGCGCACTTGCGGTAACTATTATTGAAAACCAATTAAAACTTTAAGCTTAAATATTATGATCTGCAGAAAATCGCGACAGATTAAAAATCGGGTGCGTGCTATTCACACCATGGCAACGGATGATGGACGGCGTGTGAACTTCCATCCCTCCTCTGTCAACAGCGGCGAAAGTGGCTTCGATTCGGCGTACTTTGTCTACTACCAGCGGCAAAAGTCCACGGATCTCTTCCTGCTTGACTCCACTATGGTCTTTCCCATGGCGCTAATAATTTTTGGCGATGGCGTAGAGGCGGGAGTGACCCAAAATACACCGTATATATGCGTGGCCAAGACTTACTAGTGAGTATAACAAATGTTTGGTTAAATTAGTTATTTAAATAATGCATTCTCTTAGCTTCAAATGCAATGTAGAAACGGCCGATGTTGTCCTAGAATTGCGTAGCAATCTGGAAAAATTGCTGCTCAAAAAGGCTTTATATCCCGCGCCCATCGAAGATAATGGCTATGAAAAGCAGTTGATCAAGTCAGTTAAATTCTGTATGTTATTTATGGACTAATAACAAGATTTTCTTCTTTTTCACAGAGCCATAGAACTGCTACTCTCTTTGGACGAAAGACTGGGCGAGGATTACATATCCTCGGATGAAATTGATGACATCTAAACTGCCTCATTAGCCTGGTGTTTTAGTTTATTGTTTAGCTCACGAAATAAGTCATCTTCGTGTGTAAAACATTGTATATGTTAATAATAAATTATACGTGCAAACTAGTGATGCAATAACAAAATTTCTTGGTAAATTCATTCCATCTAGTCATCCTCCAGGAGGGCAAACACGTTGCGGGATCTGGGCGGATCCTCCTCGATGGCACACTCGTCCTCATCCGCATTGGTCTCATCATTGGAGCTGTCCTCATCTTCGTCCTCGCTATCAGCAGCTTAAATAGGTTTTTTTTTTTTGTAATTAAGAAATTACATTTATATTTGTTTTTATGGTGAATACATACTATCTGAGCACACCGAGGAGGTGTCGCCGTTGGTCTCGCTTTCCGGCTCCTCCAGCTCAACCTGCTGGTACTTCTTGACCTCCGCCAGATCGGGATGTTGTAGCCAGTGATCACGCCGCTCCTCGAAGCCCGGCGGATAGAACTGCAGCACCAGTAGCTGTTGGCCGGCCAGACACATGCGAAGTATGTGATTGGCAGCCCGATAGCGATCCGGTCTGGCCGCCTTGGCGGTTAGGAATCCCCTCTTATAAGCCCAGGCATCACAAATGGCCACCGCCGACCACTCGTCATAGTCCTCGGGCAGGTGGAGTCTCAGAAGCTGCGGCAGATTCATATGCTCGCCCAGGAACTTCAAGGAGCGATAGGGCACAGCCAGCTGGGAGATCGGAAAACTGCCCAGCAGCACTTGAAGGCTTTTGGGAGTGGTCGATGGAAAGACTAGGCCGGGACAATCGCACAGACGGACCAGGGGGGTGAGGAAAATGGTCTGAAAGTGCTTTGTGTGTCCGGGTGTGCGACTCACGCTGACCACTTTGCGTCCCTTCAGGGCGTTAATTAGCGAGGATTTGCCCACATTTGGGAAACCAATGCAGCCAATGGTCAGGACGCCATTGTGATACTTGACATGCTCGTGGGGCGTGGTGTCGATGCTGCTGCTGATCTTGAGTTCACCCTCCACGGCCGTTGTCAGATCATCCAGGACATCGAGTTGATCGCTTCGCATGTCCTCGCGAATCTTCTGCTCCCAGGCCGTCAGATCCACCTCGCCCTGCACGTAACGCTGGCACTCCTTGTATATGTTGTACACCCCCTCCATGCTGCGGCGATGCGCCTGCGGTCCACGCTGGCTTCCCTTGCGGGAGCGCGGCAGATAGGATGCAAAGAGCACCACTGGCAGATGGGGATAGTGGTCACGGAAGTACTCCCGCCAGGCAACCACCACCTGCGGCTCCACAAGATCCACTTTGTTGAACACCACAATCGCATGCTTCTTTAGCGTATTGATAATGTAGTCGTACAGTGAGGGCGGAAACATCAGCGTGGCATAGCGCACATCCACAATGATGAGCAGAATGTCCGAAAACTCGAGGACACGCCACAGTTGGCGCCAGGTTTCCAGGTTCAGTTCGAAAAGGGAGAGTTCCTTGGAGTCACCAGCACGCTGCTTCTTTTGCAGCTCATCCACGTATTCCTGTGGAACAACAAAAAAATCTGATTACAGGGTATATTTAGAAATATTTAAAGCGATTGACACTTATCCGTTGCTATAATGGTAATTTAATGTATGGTATATGGATTTTAAAACTCGTTCACGTAATCTTGGGAAATGAACCAAAATATATAGTTATAAAATATATTCCCAAAATTTGTAACGCAGTTTATTATAATGGTTTCTAATTGTATAGTAATTTTGTACATTTTGATATTAAAATTGGGTAAAAACTTTAAAATGCAATAAATAGCGGCAGACTATATTCAATAGCTATTTACCTATTTTTTTCCTTTCACAAAAAATAAAATAATAAATGTAATTGCAACTCCATTTAGACCAATATACATACTTTTGACATGACCTACCTTAAAATATCGATTCTCGGTGCGATCAAGTTGTTCTTTGGAATTTTCTATTTTCCAGGGCGGACGCACTGGAAAGTCGCAACCGGCAAAGTACCGTTCGTCCACTTCCCGTTCTTTGGGACTTAGGACTTCCAGGGGTTTGAAGCCCTCCAGCTTCATTTGCTCCAGTTCCTTCTTGCCCTCCTGGTAGAACTGGAGATTATAGCGATTGACGTTTTTGTTGCGATTTCCACCACGGGCGAATGGTTGTTCCATGAGTTTCCTTGTCGTTTCGGGCACATCGCTATCCTCGTAGGATTCCTGGGTGCTCCGCAAATATTTGGGCGGACCTGCCGGCATAACATTGTTAGTCATACGTTCGGTTTTCTTTCTTTCCTCCCCCTTTTTTTTTTTTTTTTTTTTACAGGTGGCCAGCGCAATGTTTTCTCACCTTTTGTGTTGCGCTTCTGCAGCATCTGATCCTTCTTCTTCTTGCCGCTGAAGGCCACCTTGCGCCGTTGCTGGGGCATTGTTTTTGGGTCGAATCCTGGTCTCACTTCCGGTTAATTTGGATTTGTCTAGCGCCCCGTCAATTTGTAAGTAATTGTGATTGAATGTTGTTGCGGCTTTTCCTTTCAGCGAATTAAACGTTTCCGACAAGTTGGCATCACCGAGAGCCAACAAAAAAAGGGTTGTCGAGCTTTGAAAAGCTCGATAGTTGATTTACGACAATCACACATCTATGTAAATCTAAATGTTACCAAAACCTAAAAAATGCCTAAATATTTTGTTATGAATCCTCACAATTGAATTTAGTTACTGCAAAAATAAAGGTTTCATTTGAACCAAATTTCTCAGTAAATTTGTTTTAAATATATTCTTAACTCTTTTTCCCCAAATAATTTCATAGTTAATTCGGTAATTTACAGCAAAATGTAAATTTATTTTTTTTTTTCAGATTCTGCTTTCTTAATTCACTTAAGTCGTTAAATCACTATTTGTCATGTCAAAATGTTTTGATAACAGAGTTTCGTGACAAGTTGGCAGCCCTGATGCAACGGCGTTCAAAGTGCAATTACTTTTCTTATTGTTTAAGCTATAAACTCGTTAGAAAATGCCGCTAAAAGGCATTAAAGTGCTGGAATTCGTGGGCTTAGCTCCGGGACCATTATGTGGCAAGATCCTGACCGATTTTGGGGCCACAGTCACCCGGATCGATAAGGTAAGCAGTGGTCAACTTGTCGGTAAAAACTGATTGTAAAAGACATTCGATTTAAACAGGTTCTTGATAATTCATTGGACGTACTGCAGCAGGGAAAACGAACTTTATGCCTGGATCTGAAGAATGTGAAGGGTCAGCAATTGGTGCAACGATTGGCCCAAGAATGCGATGTGCTGATCGAGCCCTTTAGACCGGGAGTTATGGAGAAACTTAATTTGGGTCCTGTTGAGCTATGTAAGGCGAATCCTCGCCTGATTTACGCCCGTCTCACGGGATTCGGCCAGAACGGAAGACTGGCACCGCGTGCGGGTCATGATATCAACTACGCCGCCATATCGGGTGTGCTGTCCATGTTGGGCAGGCGCCATGAGAAGGCCACTGCACCCATTAATCTTCTGGCGGATTTCGCGGGCGGCAGTGTGATGTGCACCCTGGGCATTTGTCTAGCCCTTCTGGAGCGCCACAATTCCGGCCGGGGTCAAGTGGTTGATGCCTCGATGGTGGAGGGAGCCGCATATGTGGCCAGTTGGCTATTTATGTCCCGGAATCTGGAAATTTGGGGACGGGAGCGGGGCGAGAACCTCATCGATGGTGGATCATATTTCTATGATACCTATGAAACCAAAGACGGTCGCTACATGTCCGTCGGCGCCCTGGAACCGCAATTCTTTGAGCTTCTGAAACAGCGTTTGCATCTTCCCGAAGATCTCTGCCAATTCGGTGAGGAGCATCAGGATCGAGGACGGAAGCTTCTCACAGAAGCCTTCCTATCCAAAACCCAAACGGAATGGTCACAGATCTTTGAGGATGTAGATGCTTGTGTCTATCCGGTGCTGGATTACCGGGAGGTTCATAAGCACGACCATAACAGGGAGAGGGAATCATTTGAGGTGATACAGGATGCACCTGCTCCACGTCCAGCTCCACTTCTAAGTAGAACTCCTGGAAAGTTGCCCAAGGTAACTGATGATAGGCAACTGGGTTTAATCGAAGAACTGAACCTTAAGCCCCATGAATTAAAAGACTTACTCGATACGGGAGTACTTACACTTCCGGAAAAGGCCAAACTTTAGTTGTGACTAGATCAAAAGCAATACAGTAGACACCCCTAAATAAAAGACATTTACGTTTTGTTGCTCTTGCATTCAAAAATTCTTTTATTCTCGCTCTTGCACACATACACATTTTACATTTGCTAAAATTTCGCGTACAAACTATCAGTCATACAATTTGTTTCGGAACAATTAGGCCGCACTTTGATAATCAGAGGGGGGGATTTTTTGTTTTTTTTTGTTTTTAGTAATTGGATAATACAGCATACTATATAACGTAACATAATTGATTCTCTCCTATCGCAATCGTGGGTCAAATGTTCTCTCGCGCATTCCTACTTACTGACTAAATTAGGATTAACTAGCATACCGAGTAGCACATATACTAGATTTAATTCGGCTAAAGCACCGCGCGTCAGCGTTACCAATTTGGTTTTTTTTTTTATTTTTATATTTAATATAATTGATTATAATGTTCATACATATGTACGTGGGTGTTGGTAATGAGTTGTTTGTAGTGTGGAGATGTAAATTTCACTAGTTTGCGTTTTGGTGTTTTTGTTGTAGTATTGTTCTAGTAGTAGTGTAGTGTAAAGTCCCGCGTAAAGTAATCGTAATCCTTGTAAGTCCTTAAGTAAGTGGTAGGTTGTGTTGGTGTATGTTGTATGTTGTATGTATATATAGTAAGTCTCAGTTCTCAGTATAAAATCAGTACCATATGTTACTTTTCAATTTATGTGTATGTAGTTCACACTTGCAGTTGTGCATTTTTTTTTTTTTTTTTTTTGTAATCCTTTAAATCCTTTACAAAAAAATATCATTTCTCTGCTGCGCGGGGTGCTTTCTCTTACATTTTATATATATCCACACAAGACTCATACAGCACACACTTCATACAGATGATCGAATCACAGGCAAAGTTACAGTTGCGGTTTAAGTTTATTTTTTTTTTGTTTAATCTTATATCAGACGACGACCACTCGAACACAAGGCAAGGGTTGAAAGGCAAGCCCGTTGAAAACCCTTTAGTTTACACAGTGGCGAGTCCAAAAAGTGGGTCCACCATGCATTTTTTTTTATTGAAGCTTGCTTTTCAACCGTTTACCATACTTTTTACTCACTTACTCTCTAGTGACATGAAATCATTTCTTAACAAGCTAGATGAAACAAACTCAATAGTCCCTCAATTTGAATGATTTTATATTTGCTTTTTTGTGTGTTTGTTTTGGAATGGTAACATACAAATTTGCTCAGTCACAGTTTCACGCACTCCTACTGTTTATAAAAGTTGGAAATGTATGTATAAAAGGTAGAAATTTGTGCTAAATGATTTGAGTGTCTTGTCTTGTATTAGTTTGTTGGTGATTTCTTCTAGATATACTTCTCCAATCATCCAGTCACTCTCATAAACAACCATTGTCAATCATCACATAATTCATCATCTCATCATCATCATCATACAATGCACAAGTGTCATCATCATAATAATCAGCACCAAGCTTCATACTCAATCAACACACCTGTGAAAAAGAAGGTTGGAAAATGTAATTATTAGCAACTATTATGTTGCATTATTTTGGTTCTTCTAGATAAGCTAACTTATATTGATAGTGTGAATTGAAAAATTCTAGACATCACTTACATTTCGCACAGCACAGCCATAAACGTTCATGTTCCTTTAGGCGTGGCTCAGCTCTCGATTTCCAAAGATTCAGAGTCATTCATCTTCATCATCCGCATCCGATCATTCATAGCTAATATTAATGTTAATCTAATTAATTTTGGCAATTTCATGTTTCCTTTGTATGCGCAAGTTGCCATTTCAAAATTCGAATTTTTGATATGTTCAAATTTGATAAAATCATATGTCATTTTTGTTTATTTAATATAACTTCTTTCTCTTGGACGGCTGTGCGATACTTTATTGAAAAAAAGAGATAAATACTACCAATGAAAGTTTTTTTTGTTTTTGAAATGACAACTTCTTGATTTAGAGAATTCATTGAAAAAAGTTCAAAAACGTGATTTAAGCTTAGTTTAACGAATTCTTGGTTATAGTTTTGACATTTTTTTTAACAGTATTCGTATTATATGTGGTCTTATATCTAAAGTAGTTCACAATAGTTCACTTCATTCCGATTTTCACTTGCAGTTTGAATGTTGTGAAAAGATTTTAAACGGTTAGTTTCGACTTTCTTTTTATCCTCTATTTACTTTTCATCGTTCACAGTCGCGTCTTTTTCGTAAGGTAGTTTCTGGTTATGTTTGTATGGTTTTTGTATGGTTCCGTATATGATAAAATAACTAAATGAAGTATGTGTCGTTGTTTTGTCCTATTAAGCTGTCATGTTGTGTCTTTAAGCGCGTCCTACATCTCTATGTAAATTATGGTTTTTAGGGGGCCAGAATTTTTTTTTTTAATATTTGAAATCCCTTTTTCTAGGGTTGCAAAAGGTGTTGTGAAAACAGTTTTGATCGAATTTTCGAAATACAATTTTTTAAGACACTCGATTTGAAAGCAATAATTTGTTTTTCTAGCTCCCCTGTGAATTATTTATTTATTTTTTGTTGTATACCCTGGTCCGTTGCGTATTAGTTTTAGTATGTTGCGTTTACCTAATATATATATATTAATTATACATGTGTTGTATGTGCTGCAGGTAGTTGCTTGGTTGTTGTTTTTGCTGTTTTGTTTGTTTTTCTCGTTGCTTTTCACCCCATTTTATTTCAAGTAAAAACATAAAATAAAGTGAGAGCCAAATTAAGCGTCATTGGTTGGAATTAATGAGAGCACACTTAATTGTATACACAAAAAATAAAATAATTTCATGCCTTTGTGGGCTTGAGCGTGACTGCTTTAATTGGTATTGGTTTTTATTCTGGATAACGTTTCGCTGTTGTTTTATGGATTTAATGGATTTTTGGAGCTAGTTTTCAAAACAGCCACGCCCACGCCTTTGTACGTCCCTAAGTCATTTCGTAATTCGTTTTTTAGTTGCTAGGTTGGTTTCTCAGTCGTCTTTAAGTGTTGTTTTACATTTAGATTCGTTTCGTTTGCTTGTAGTAAATTTAAATTCAAATCCGTTTAAAATCTTTTTGATTTTCTGCTTTGCTTACGTCTAAAATCATTCGTTTCGTTTCACTAGACAAATTCTTGCGCTTAATTCATAATATCACACAACACGCCGATGATACACACGCGCGCCAAACAAAAAGGAAATCTTCATCCATTTTCGTGGGGTTTCTTCTCGCAGTCACGTAATATCATTTTCCCAGAGTTTCTCTCAAGCATTCATCATCACAGCATAACTATAGGCATAAAGGGGTAAGGTAAGGTAAGGTAAGGTGACGGACAACAGGCATGCTGACTTTTAGATATACATACTCGCTCTCAGCCATATGTTTCATTCCATCACATTCGGTTCACACTCAAGACATTCATTCTTATTTTATATATATTTTTGTTTGTTTTTTTTGTTGGGCTAGTGAGGATTGTAGGATAGATACATTAGTTCTTATAACTTAAAGTGTGGGTCTTACAGCCGCTACAAGTTAATGTTTCCAAAGTGGTGCAATGCATTTAATGTGTTCTACTTTTAAAGCAATTTTTTTCTACCGATTTTTACAATTAAATTTTAATTTCACATAATTTTTAATAACAGCTAGCTTTAGCGTTTTTGGTAATGCTTAAAATCGGGCTACTAAATCGCCGGTTTCCAGAGCAATCCCAAACCAAGGCTGCCCTTATAGCCGGAGTTTTTACAAAATGTCATAAATTCCATGAATAGATATTTATCAATGTTTTAGTCAATGGGCCGCCTTAATTTGGGTTTGCGTTTCCGAGCGAGGACAATGGATAGATAAAGGATAAATAAACTCACACGATAATCAACAGACCTTAATTAAAATAGTTGGTCGAAACAAAGGTTCGGTTTTGGACTTAAAGCTATTGGGTTTTTATAAACAATTTGTCTTAGCATTTACACGTTGCACAGCAACAATAGATCGGACAAACAAACTTAGCAGATAGAATCTTTTTATCAGAGAATTCGGACTGGACTGCAAAAATAGAGAAATTAATGAAAATCAAAATCAAAAAATTGTCTAGAAGCAATCATTAGTAGGATGGGTCGATTTTTCTTGCGATATCTATATGATTCTTATTTGCATTGCCTTTTTAAACACTTTTACTCGTTCGAAATAAGTAAATACTTTCGCCAAAAATCGACTCAACCAAATTCACCATTCATACGTTGATGAAAAGCAGAATAAGAACTCAGTGTACTCACCAGTTTGGCTGCATAACATACAATCTTGAGGGTCTGGTGGAAAGCAGGGAAACATTAACCTCTAGCTGGGGATCTACTGCGTGATAACCTGGCTATTGATCTTCTTAATCTCCTTGACGGCCCAAGTGCACAGCATTTTGGTGCGCTGGCCCTTGGAGCGCTTGCCATCGGCAAGGAAGGTGGAAATGACCGAATCATCCAGCAGCGGGTACAGACGTGGTCCAAACGAGGTGCACAGATCGCCAATGAAGCCGGCGGCACTGGCCATCATCGAGTCGGAAACGTCGCCCTCCTGAGCGATGCGCTTGATAAAGGAAATAATGTGCATTAAATGTGGCTCCATGTGTACCACATCGGGATGAGCCGTCTGATCCACGCCCTTGAGGCCCTGAATGATGCCAGTGTAGGCTTCGAGTACGCTCTCACGCAGTTCATTGATGTACTCGTTCATGTCAAAATTATTTGCGTCCGTCTGAGAAAAAAAACAATGAAGATTATATGATGCATGGTTAAATAAGGTATCAAAAATCACCCACCTGCAGGTTGGATGCGGCACGCAGCATATCTAGGACCACGCTCAGATAATTAAGGAAGTGGCTACCAATGCTCAAGGCTATGTCCCCGAAGGCAGACAGGATCTGTGGCTTAACGCTGCGATGCAGAGTCGGCTCTGCCAGGTTGTTCATCAACACCGACATTATCTCATCGGAGTAGGGCACCATGAGCTCCTTAAGGGCGCGGAATATGTCCCCCGTGAGGCCGACCGAAGCACAGCAGACCTGGTACTCCTGGTGATTCTTCAGGCCCATGACTAGGAAGTCCTTGAAGGCGGGCATGTACTTGGCAAACTGTACACCCAAAAGTTCCACCAGTGTGGAAACAGCAAGGAAGGCATCCTCCTGCACACCACCAGATTTCCCGGCGCTCGAATTGAACATGGTCAGCAGGGCGGTCATGATAGCATCGGAAATTTGCGGGGCATCCTGCTCGTGGACCTTTCGCAAAACACTTTGCAGAGTGGCGCAGAGAAGCGATTGCAAGTCGTTGAACTGATGCCGATCGCTGTGGTTGTTGATTTGCGTTTCCATCTGCATAACCTGATTCAAACGCTCCAGTATCACCAATGTGGTGCGCTGCACCACCAAATAGCAATCTAGAGGCGAGTTCTTGATCATATCCATGAGTGCTTCATAGGCAGCTCCCCTCAAATTGGCCTGAGCTCCATCTGAACGATCCGTGGTCTCCAGCAGCTGCGTAATGATGTACTCAAAGTACGGCGACAGGGCGTAGGTCTCCGGTGTCTCGCCCTCGGTGGTGACCGCTGCCTCATAGGCGGCATCCGATAGACCAATGAAGGCCCAGCATACGTTGGCCGCCACACGGGGCTCCGACTTTAAACTCTTTACGAAGCACTCAAGCAGAGTCTGGAGATATGTCTTGTTGATGGCCGCTTCAGGAATGATCTAAAGAAGAAAACAATATGTAAACTTTTAGTTAAACTAAGCAATAGAATAAACAATCCCCCACTTACATCGCAGATGCGTCCGAAGGTCCAAGCCGTGGTGTCGCGCACAATCACGCTGGAGTCATACATCAGTCGAATGAGCGTGGGCATGGCCTGCTCCACGAGCGGCTTCAGCGTGTTGGTCTCCAATCCATTTAGCACCGAGCCGAATGTCATCACTGCCGCGTCACGGTAGCGCCAGTTGGGGGACTCGATGTTCTCCTTGATGAAGGGCAGCACATGCGGCACGATCTCATCCTCGCAGCAGGTGGCCAGCACCATGAGGCAAACGGAGGAGGCCTTCGCCGGGCTCCAGGTGTCCTCGTCATCGCACTCATCCTGTTTGGTCAGCTTCTCGACGAGCACGGGCGTAAGGAATTGCAGCGCACCACGAGCATAATGCTTGGATACCCTCTGCGGAGCTCGGCCCTGATCCGTGGCCTCCTGACTCTCAATGGCCAGGTCGATCTCTTCGTCGCAGACGTTCGACCAGAACTCAATGCCCTGCAGGGCCACCGCATCGTTTTCAGACTTCATGGCCGCCAAAGTGATCGGAAATAGGGCCTGCGCCATGTAGGGTTCCATGAACTGGTAGTAAAGGGTCATAACCTTCACCAGACACTGCAGAGCAGCCACACAGATTTGCGAATCCTGGCACTGAGTAGCCTCGCACACCACCTCCATGATGAAGTTGCGCTCCATGTCCTTCTCAAAGTTCGACTTGGTGAACTCTAGCGAATTGTGCAGGGCCGTGGTGGCCGCCAAACGGACATGATTGCTCGGCTCCAACTTTCTCATGCCATGAATGATGGCAGTGAGAACATCGTTGGACTGGTTCTCCAGCACCCCGAAGCGAATGTCCTGGCAAATGTAGCCAATTGCCTCCAGTGCCGCCTCACGATGCATCTCGCTGGACACCTCGCTGACCACCTTGTTGACCAGTGTCGTGATGAGCATGGCCCAGCGGTTCATCGGCAGCTCGATCACGGCTACATAGGCCACGCACTGGGCGGCGCAGGAGGGACGCGTGTTCTCGGTACCCAAAGCGGCCAGGATCTGCAAGGATATCGTAGTTATTCAGTGCCAAAATCAAGTGTTTCGTAATTGTTAGTCCTCAGAGTTGGAATACAACTCAATATTTGACTATGTAACTTACGTTATTCTTGATCAGTTCGCGAATTTCGCTGGGAAACTGATGCCAGCGCTCCTGGTACTGTTGGCTGATCTTCTCATCTTTGCTGGTCAGGTGATTCTTCAGCTGGAGACCGGCTGCCATGCGGGCCACTGCGCTGTTTGTCGTGTTCACCAGGATCTCGGACAGCGCCTTGAGGAACTCGGGCAGATTGCTGGCCGCCGCCTGCTCCAAAAAGTTCTTCGCCGATAGCAATTCATTTTTGTCTGGAATTGTGTATTAAAGTTTATTAATAGAATTCGAATTTTTAACTTTTTATGGGGGATATTTTATACGTTTGCAAAAAAGAAACTCTCATCAATAAGTAGAGAAAGAATTGGACGACTTTTACATGAGTTTATACACTATTGGACTCCTCATTACGAATTTAATGCTAATTTTGGAAGTTATAGAAAGATGTAAGATATCTTTAATGTACGTTTTTTGATCAATAGGAATTTTTGAGAAGGATTACCAAGTGATAGCAACTTATGATTGTCCATAGGAACAGGAGTTTTTGGGAATGTTAAGCGAATCATTATACATAAGAAAGTTATAAAATCCATTTACATTATAATATAGAATATGTGTGCAGATTAGAGAAATATTTGCCGGTCTTGCTTTTAGTCATATTTTATCGGCAACCGGAAGAGCTGGTCGCCAAACATAAGATTATTACTCCGAAGTGACGCCTCATGGATCCCTATATTGTTTGTGAGGTTATGTCGTTCGTGGAATGGGTTTATAAATCCTTAATTGTAGGAGCGCATTTATATGCGCAAATACATATACATAGGCGGAATATGTACGAATGCACATGTGTGCGAAGCCCCCTAGCAACCAAACATATGCTAGAAGCGCCTATATTGCAACCCTGCGCAACATACAACGCGCGTCCCTCCCGCCAATCGAAGAAAAGAAAATTTCGTAGACCGGGGGGAGTACCTTCATAAAAACTCTAAATATATATATATATAAATATGCAACTCACCTGGCGACACCGTCTTCTCCAAAATGGCAATCAATTGCATGGCGATATCGGAAGTCATTTTTGCGCTCTTTTTCTTTTCTATATATGTATGTATTTTACTTCACTTTCCGTTTCTTTCTGCAGGTCGGTCGTGCGTCTGTGTGGGTGATGGAATTTTTGCGTAATTACTAGGCAATACTAGTCTATTGGCTGTATGGGGGGTTAAGAAAACCAAATTAAAGTTAGTACAATACATTACAAGAATTATAACATTTCTTTTTTGACAGGTTGCAACACCTTGAACGTCACAAGAATTGATTTTTTCGCACACACATTTACACACACACACGCACTCTAATGAAAACTCCACATTCTACTCACGTTTTGTTGTTGTCTCCTCTGGAACGTTGAATAAATCAAGGGATGCCTAACGGTGATTTGATTAGTTATATTTATTATAGGCTTGCTCAAAAGCTCACACAATTTTTGTTCGCTTTGTCGGAGAAGGGCAATATATTTTATATTTCTTGTGGTGGCTGCGAGTTGACTGCGAGCTAGAGCTGTTAAAATACCGATAACTCTTTTGATTAATACGATGTTTTTGGTCTTTTTTACCGCAATATACTAAAACATACCAACTAATTACAAAAATGCTTTCGCTTCCCTGAAGAACAAACGGTTGAGTTTTGAATTCTTGTTTTATATCGAAGAAATTTGTAACAAATTAACCAACAAAACGACAACTGAACATTGTTTATTTTGACATAAAACTCGGGGGAATATCGAGGAACAATCGAGAAATTTAACATCGCATAGAGTTATAAAAATATTTGCAATTGTGTAATTTTTAGTTTTTCCATAAATCATATACATAAGTGATTCGTTTTAATTGAGTTTAAATTAATTTAAGAATTTGATTACTTAGCACAAATAGTCGAGACTAGCAAAAACTTTTTTTTCTTGGAAATCGGTTAATACACGATTCGTTTACCTGATGATATAGATTAAAAATTATATTGATTTATAATCGTTTTCAATAATTTTTTGCGCCATTTAGTCATGGTTGCGAGCTGCCAACTTTCCTCAAGCCGATTTGCAGACCCCACTTTTGGTTAAACATTTTGAATTTCGGTCAATCACTGCGGTGTCTGGTCATTTTGCGATCTCGCTTGAGTCCAAAAGTTTCGCTAAAAAGCCGTGAAAGCAAATAAAAAATAATAATCAGCAAACAATATCAGTTAATACTAGTCACAACCCAAACAATAAAAGGTCACGCCGATTTGCCCAAACTGCGAATATGTGAAAAGAGGGCATTTACGAGGTAAAAATGTCGTGACGATCGCACAAATACAAAGTACAAAATATATGATATCAAATTTTGTGACAAAAAATTTGAAACCAACTAATGAACAAATGAAATTTTTTTAATTATTAATTATTGTCATAAAGCTCGAGGCTCAACATTTTTTGTTGTTTCTATTTTAATACTTTTAGAATTAATGTTTTTTCTGTTTGTTAATAGTGTGGAATCTAAAATAATTAAATTAATTCGAATTTTTATTTGTATTAATAGTCAAATTATGTTAAAACTTTTTTTTCTAGGGAATACCAAATAATATTTATTGAAATTTATTTAGAATTCCGCGCTACTTAGCCCTGGCTTGGTGCTGCCATCCTTCCTTAAGTCGGTTGGCAGTCCCCTTTGCTGGACTAGGTGGCAACGCTGTCACAGGCAGTGCTGACGTTCGGCAAAAAAAAGAGGAAACGTAGTAAAAACACTCGAGAAACTCCGAATATTCCGATAAATAACCAGCAAATACGGTTTGTGCTCGCCCTGCCATTCCGGAAAGTGTGGAAGTGCGTTGCTGACACGTCCACGTTGTAGACACAACCCTAAACAAAAAAAGAGGGCCACGGCGATTTGCCCAATCTACGACTCCTGGCGTTTGTTGGCCGCAATTTCGAGATGATCCTGCTTTCCGGACTTGTGCCGCTCCTGGGCATTGTCCTGCTGCACCTGGTCAACCCGACACAGGCCTTCTATCTGCCCGGATTGGCGCCGGTTAATTTCTGCAAGAAAACCGATGTCTCCAGCACATGCAAGGTATGTATATATGTACATGTATGCATGATACTTATAAGTTAGTGGGTGTGTTTGCCCGCAACAATTAGCAATGCTACAAATAGTGATGTATAATAGTGGTATATTATTGGAGCAGCGGTCAGGAGCGGAAGCGCTGATAAGGTCACTTACTAGCGATATATGTATGTGCCCTATGAGGAGCGGTCCATATCTCAACTTCTGGTGACGTTGACGACGCTGGCTAAACACGCTGCCAAAAGCAAAAATTGGAGTTCTAATGTTGGTTCAGCTGGCACTCGAATGCAGGTTAAAATTACGAGCTTTTGGTCAGGTCTTTACCACTTTAACACTAGATCCCATCCAGAGAAAGTAATCCATTAAGAATGATATTGCAGACTTTTAAAGCAACATTGTTAATGATAACGATAATATGAGTGTGTGAAAACCGTTTATGTTATGTATTTAAGGACACATTTTAAAGATATTTCAAACTGAAAATTGATAATGCTTTTTGTAGTCACCATTAAAGCTGTAATTGAGCAGTTTCAATCAGGGGATTCACCGAAATCTGTAACAACTAAAAATCGACCCGATAGCTATTGCTACTTGGACTTTTTTTAAGCTTTGATTATTGCAGACTGGTTATAAAAGCTTCTTCATATTTTGTTTTTGCAGACATCCCGAATTTTCCGAATTACATGCATAGGTTAAAACCCCGACATCTGGTTTGCTGAAAGCATTAATTTCGATAATGTTTACATTTCTATGACATGAATTAAATTAAACTAAACTTATTAAAAATAGTTAATTATTATTAGTTATTTTGTTTCTTTTGAAATACGAATATATTTTTAAAGCTGCAAAGCAGATTAATTGTTATGGAATACACCTAAATATCACAAATTGCTAAAAATTCTAAAAAAAGATTTACAAACCGATTTAAATCTAATACTGTGTTGATCAATATTATATCGTGAAAAATAAATTGAAATCTACTTTATTTATTTTTTTAATTAAACTTTTATCAAGGAAGTAGATAAGGCTTTAACTAGCTGTTACTCAATGCAAAAAAAACTGGTGTTTCCCTCATAATTAAATTTTAAACACCAAAAAAAGCTCCCAGATAAGATTAATTTTATGGAACCTTACCTTTAAATATTAATACTATATGGTTAAAGTTCTGCTACCATTACATGATTTCTTATAATAATAATAATAACACTATTTCGGTGAAACTTGCAAGAATAATCAAATTCCAGATAAGATTAAAGGAGAACCATTATTAAGCAATAATTGATACTTATTGATTATCTGTTTTAGTCGGAAATCTTCTTGTACGTAAACCGGTTGAACACCGAGGAATCAGAAATACCCTATGAGTACCATCACTTCGACTTTTGTTTGGGAGAGGAGGCAAATTCTCCGGTTGAGAATCTGGGACAAGTGGTGTTCGGCGAGAGAATTCGTCCGGGACCCTACAAAATTCAGTTCCTGGAGAATCAGCAATGTGCAAAGGTAAGTATATGAATTTTAATTGATTAGTTTCAGACTTTAGATCTTAATTTGATCGAAAATGTTTACGTCTTGCTTTAGGCCTGTACCAAAAACTACAAGGGCGACGATCCGATTAGCAACCGTCGTATGATGGTCCTGAAGAAGGGCATCAGCTTAAATTACCAGCACCACTGGATCGTGGACAACATGCCGGTGACCTGGTGCTATCCGCTGGAGAATGGCAAGCAGTACTGCGGTACTGGATTCCCCATGGGTTGTCTCGTTCGCCCCGATGGAGACGGATGTCCCATCAATCCCATGTACAACCAGCCCTTGCACTATTACCCCTTCAATCATGTGGATCTGGAGATAACGTATCACAGCGGGCAGGCGGAAGACTGGGGTATTCAATTCGGCAACAGTGGACGCATCATTTCCGTGAAGGTTACTCCCAAATCGATAAAGCACTTGGATCCCGAAAATCCCAATTGCCTGAGCAGTGAACCGCTGGCCATCAGTGAGAATTCGCTGAAGGCCGGAGAGCAGCTTAACATTGTGTACACCTATAGTGTGAAGTTTATCAAGAACGATGCCATCAAGTGGTCATCGCGTTGGGATTACATTCTGGAATCCATGCCGCACACGAATATCCAATGGTTCTCCATTCTCAACTCTTTGGTGATTGTTCTCTTCTTGAGTGGCATGGTGGCCATGATTATGCTGCGCACCCTGCACAAGGATATTGCCCGCTATAATCAAATGGATAGCGGTGAGGATGCCCAGGAGGAGTTTGGCTGGAAGCTGGTCCATGGCGATGTGTTCAGACCGCCGCGCAAGGGCATGCTGTTGTCGGTTTTCCTGGGCTCTGGTGCCCAGGTTCTGGTTATGTGCATGATCACCCTGGCCTTTGCCTGTCTGGGTTTCCTATCGCCAGCCAATCGAGGTGCCTTGATGACTTGCTCCATGGTCTTGTTCGTTTCATTGGGCACACCGGCTGGTTATGTCTCCGCCCGTATTTACAAGAGTTTCGGTGGCCTGAAGTGGAAGAGCAATGTTATCCTCACCTCGATCGTTTGCCCTGGGTAAGAGACTTTCTTAAATATTTATTATAAAGCTCTTATTAAGTCCTATTTGTATATGTAAATTTTACCTGTTTTTAGTGTGGTCTTTTCGCTGTTCTTTGTGATGAACCTGGTGCTCTGGGGCGAGAGTAGCTCGGGAGCTGTGCCATTTAGCACATTGATTGCCCTACTCGCCCTGTGGTTCGGTGTCTCAGTGCCACTAACCTTTGTTGGGGCTTACTTTGGGTTCCGCAAGCGCGTGAGTATATATTACGTTTATGTATCTTTCCGGTTTTTGACATTATGCTGTTGAATTTCAGGCCCTGGAGCACCCGGTGCGTACCAATCAGATTCCCCGGCAGATTCCCGACCAATCGATCTACACACAACCTATTCCCGGCATCGTTATGGGCGGCGTTTTGCCCTTCGGATGCATTTTCATCCAGCTGTTCTTCATCCTGAGCTCGCTGTGGTCCAGCCAAATGTACTACATGTTCGGCTTTCTGTTCCTGGTCTTTGTCATACTGGTCATCACGTGCTCGGAGACAACCATTCTGCTGTGCTACTTCCACTTGTGTGCAGAGGACTATCACTGGTGGTGGCGCTCCTTCTTAACGTCCGGTTTCACTGCTGTCTATCTGTTCATCTACTGCTGCCATTACTTTGTGACAAAGCTCTCGATCAAGGACAGTGCATCGACGTTCCTGTATTTCGGCTACACGGCCATCATGGTATTCCTGTTTTTCTTGCTGACCGGCACCATTGGATTCTTCGCGTGCTTCTGGTTCATACGCAAAATTTACAGCGTGGTCAAGGTCGATTAAGCAAACCAAAATTCAAGAAGAAGGAGCTCGTGCGAATGTATTTTTGTATGTGTAGCCACAAATTTACACTTAAGCCTAATGTGTGTGTGTGATTTCTGCGCTGTGCGCCACGGCACAGACAGTTTTCTGTTTATTATAATTACGATTGATATGTGTACAATAACATATATTTGTATCAGGCAAGCAACC